CCTGCTGAAATGGCAAATGCTCTCCAGGTAAGCCCACCTGGTGCCTGCACTGGTGGTTTGTTCAGAGGCATAAGACTGTAAGCAGCGTTGATTGAAATTGGTTCTCTGGTGTTTTCTATAATTATCCTCACTAAGTCTCCCATTCAATAGATGAGCTATCCAATTCTCAGCTCCCAAATGCCACCAGTCCACTGAGAGGAAGGTAGTGCTTGAATAAAGCGGCAAACTGACTGAAGTCCTGTGCCTCTGGATCTCTATCACTGCCTTTAATCTATTCCTCAAACCAATCTGAATACAGAGGCCCATTCACTACGGCTACATAATATTGCACACTGTGAATCATTAGGCTGAACCATAAATTGTCAAATGATGCAAAATAAGTTACAGCAGTCACTTCTAATATTGCCTGCACAGCCTCATATTTACTCTTCCATCTCCACTGAGATCAAATTGCAAGCATTTATTGTGTTCATCAACCAAAGTACTGTCACAGGTAGGAAAAAAGAAATTGAGGATTCAGATGACTTCCTCAAGCAAAGCAAATCCTAGCGGCAAAGTCAAGAAAAATCAAAAATAAAAACTAACGATATATCAGTCTCATGTGTGCCCCTACCACCTCAAGCCAAATTTCTAGAATACCGAATGCTTCCAAGAGGAATTCAGACACCAGTTTCAGCAGGGAATTTTTTTCAAATACTATAAAGCAAAAACAACATGAAAACGAACACAAGCCAACTCTACAGGATTTGAAATAAAACTCAACCATTGGTTATTCTTACAGCTTCTTTTCCACCCAGAGCTTCCAACCACTGCTTCCTTTCCTCTTCCGAAAACGCCTGCATGGTCAGAGAAACTCCAGGCCTGCAAGACACCAGGAACAGATCAGGTTACCCCTTGGCTGCTAAAAACAAACCTCCTTTTCTACTTTCTAATTTTTCATTGTGGTAGTTGTTTCTTTTAAATGTTTAATTGTGATAAAATACACAGAACATAAAATATACCATCTTCACCATTTTTAACTACACAGTTGAGCAGTGTTGAGTCCAGTCTCCAGAACTCTTCATCTTGTAAAACTAAAACTCTGTATCCGTGAAAAAGTCCCCATTTCCCCTCCTCACAGCCCCTGACAACCACCCTTCTACCTTCTGTCTCTGTGAATTTGATTACTCTAGGTAACTCTTAGAAGTGGACTCATACAGTATTTGCCTTTTTTGTGACTTGCTTATTTCACTTAGTAAAGTATCCTCCATTTTCATCCATGCTATAGCGTGTGTCAAAATTTCCTTCCTTTTTAAGGCTGAACAGAATTCCATTGTATGTACAGACCACATTTTGCTTATCCATTCATCCATCAATGGACATGTGGCTTGTTTCCACATGGCTACTGTAAACAATGCTGCTATCAACATAGGTGTACAAATATCTCCTTGAGACCCTGCTTCCAATTCTTTTGGGTATATACCCACAAGTGGAGTTGTCCAGCATGACATAATAAATATATGTCTGGTCTCTGACCCTAGTTTCTGGCACACAGCTCCTAAAACCCTTAGAATCTCTGCAATGATGTGTCATTTTGTATATTAATGAGCTGACGGGGCTGGGGGGCTCCTGGAAAGTCTCAGGATGAGGGCCGGTTGCCAAGGGAACCAACCATGTGATTAGAGGATTAGAAATTTCAGCTCCACCACCCCCCCCATACATCTCCCAGGAGTGGGGTAGGGCTGGAAATTTGACTCAAACACCAGCGGCCAACAATTTAATCAATCATTCCTGCACAATGAAGCCTCCATAAAAATCCCTGGGGTTCAGAGAGCTTGCAGGCTGGTGAGCCCATGAAGATGCTGGAGGGAGAGCACCTAGAGAAGACATGGGAGCTCCAAGCCCCTTCCTCCATACTTTGCCCTATACATCTCTTCATGAATCTCTTTGTCTGTTCCCATTAAAATATCCTTTGTAATAAATCAGCAACAGTAAGTAAACTGTTTTCCAGAGTTCTGTGAGGCATTCTAGCAAATTATCAAACTCAAGGACAGGGTCATGGGAATGCCTGATTTATAACCAAAAGCACTGTTGACAACCTGGACTTGTGACTGGCATCTGAAGCGGTAGGGGGCAGTCTTGAGCCCTTGATCTGTTGGGTCTTCATGAACTCTACTTAGTGTCAAAACTGAGTTCAATCATAGGACACTTGGTCTCCACAGAGAATTGGAAAATTGCTTAGTGCAGAGAAACCCACACCATTCTGAGTACAGAAGTGTTCTGTGAGTAGTGAGAAATAGTTTTGTCTCACAAGAGGGGTCAAATGTAATTTTTTTTTTTAATGTTGCTCATTCCCACTAACAATGCACAGGGTTCCGATTTCTCCATATCTTCACCAACACTTGTAATTTTCTCTCTCTTTCTTTTTTTTTTTTTTTGAAAGTAGCCATTCTAATAGGTGTGAGGTTGTAGTAATGATTAAATTTTATTTATAAAAGAGATACACGTTTATTGTTACACAGGCACGGGCAGAGTGAGAGCAGAAAATCATCTTTCACCCCACCCCAATTCCACTTCCAAGAAGATAGCACTGTTAACTGTTTAGGGTGTTTCCTCTGTATTTTCTTAGAGCTCTGGGTTGGTCCTCAGGGCCAAATGCCAATCTTTCTCAGTTCAGTTTATTTGGATATTTAGAGAGTCTTCCAGAAAACTCATCATATTGGAAAGGAGACCTAGGTAGAAAACCCATTAATAATTCCTCTTCAACTGTGGTGGTTTCTCCAATGAAACAAATTTTGTATATTTGATCAAAAGTATTAAAAATGAACCTTTCTGGCAAGGGATGAAAAGGTAGAATACTCCAAACCACAGACAACTGGAAATGAAAATAGATGGTTGAAATGGAAAGTAAACATTCATTCTCCTTTGATGCTGAATATACTTTTTTTTTTTGTGGTACGCGGGCCTCTCACTGTTGTGGCCTCTCTCGTTGCAGAGCACAGGCTCCGGACGCGCAGGCTCAGCGGCCACGGCTCACGGGCCCAGCCGCTCCGCGGCACGTGGGATCTTCCCGGACCGGGGCACGAACCCGCGTCCCCTGCATCGGCAGGCGGACTCTCAACCACTGCGCCACCAGGGAAGCCCCTGAATATAGTTTTTAAAGTTAACACTCCTGTAACAGTACTTCACCTCATTTTCAAGTATTGGGTAAAATCTCTTACAAGTAAAGCAAAGCTGCAAGAAGCAAGTGCAATTCAATAATCGCTACAATGTTTATAAAGTACTATAAAGCATGCAGTACTCCAAAGGCATCATATGCCAAATACAAATACGCGATGCCCCCAATGTTCACACCCACAGGCGTTAGGCTTTCTCCCCAAGTGATGGTTATAAAGCCTGAGCAGTTATGCGCTTCAAGTTCACTACCAAGTAACTATAGCTGCAACTGATAGTCTCTTGTCTTCAACCATTTTCTCCAGACTATGAATTTTGTGGGAAAAAAAAATCACTTGTAATCCCCCAACCCCACTCCTGAACAGCAAAACGGCTCTTTACTGTCTACCCTAAACATTTCAGCGTCGGCCCACTTTGCCATCACCTTGGCACTACGGAGCTCACAACCAAGATTCCACCTCCTCTTGCTCTTCTATGCACAGCATCCTTCTGGAGCAAGAATCGAGGCAAGATGCCCAGAAAACCAGGCTGTTTTAAGAATTGCCTCGAATGGGACGTGAAGATTTTGGCCCTTATTCTTAGTAACCCACACTGGGCTCAGGAGAGTTAATTAAAATTGTGAGGGAAAACTTCAGATGGCAGGCATGTTTTTCTTTACATCGGTTAAGTGATAAAACAATATTTACACACAGGGGTCTCAGGTCTGCATGACTGCTCCGTTCTTGTAAAGGAGAAAAAATAGCTAAAGACCTCTCCCAAAAGTATATGGAATGGATTCAAACACTTAATATGTAACGAAGTGAACTAAAGTATAAAATGGACAGTAAGAGGCTACAGCAAATATATAACAGAAAGTTAACAGCTTTTCTAATCCAGGAATGGCAAAACCAGCAGAGAAAAACGGGACCCCAGGTTTAAAATGGCAAAGTCTGTCACGGGAATACAAACACGGGGTTTACAAACATTCAGTTCAACAACCATTGAAATATTATCTGTTGTGCTTTTAGGTCTTGTACCAGAGGGTCAGGAATTATTAAATATCTCACTACCTGCTAGGCACTGGGCTCAGCATACAGCTCACAAAGGGCTGACTATCTAGCAGAGAAAGCGAAAGGTAAACAATGTGCAAATAACCAGTTACAAGTACACAGAGCGCTGCCAGGGAGTCAGGTAAGTGTAAATGAGTGAAACCAGCTACCTAGAAGGAAAAGAGGAAATGAGCAGGACATCAGGAGATGCGTGTCCACATATAACAGCTTTCAGTTTCAAATATGCTAAATCACTGTGGTCTAGGAGACTTGTCAGTGAGCTAATTCCGCTGCCAGTCTCTTTGGGCAACTTCAGGATTTCAAGGTACTATGGAGTTAGAAAAGGAAAACCTGGCCTAAGCCTGGAAGTTAGGCATCCCTGGGGAAGCGACATTTAATCTGAGGCTTTAAGGATAAATGAGCCATGCAGGAGCAATAGGGCCAGAGTCGTCCCCTAGACCAAAGAGGCACCTAGGAGGAAAGAGCGCACTTTCATGGAGCTGGGATCAGCCTCATCACGGGTCCTACAAACCAGCTGGACCAGCAACATGATGGAAATCTGGAGATGCAGCCCGGGGTGCCGCCACAAAGGGCCTCCTTGGCCATGCTAAGGGTTTGCTTATCCTAAATGTCACTGAAAGTTTTTAGTAGGGGGTTAACATGATCAGATTAAAGGTGTACATGAACACTGGCTGCTGCTGGGCGGAAAACAGACTGAAGAGGGGTGGGTGCAAAGATTTGTTAGAAGACTCAGAGGATAAGACAGAGTGACCAAGATGAAGGAAAAACAAATGAATGGACCTGAGAAATAGTCATGAGGTGCTACTACATACTATGGGCAACAAAATGATGAGTAAGAAAGCTGTCACTCCAAGAATAAAGGATAAAAGACAGATAATTTACAATATAACAACAATAACTAGTTAAGGGATTCGTTGAGAGCCAAAAACAACTGTAGCAAATAAGGACTTACTATACTTATAATACTCAAAATCAGACACCGAACCTGATGAAATTTCCTGTGCTTTCTAGTTTCTTTTGGTTTTCCCCCTAAGGTTTTCCATTCATACTCGAGGGGAGATAATATTTACTACCAGTATATGGTTGGATATTCTTTTTTTTTCAATATTCATTTATTTTTCCTTTTTTTTTTGGCCACGTCGGGTCTTAGTAGTGGCATGCAGAATCTTCAGTGAGGCACAAGGGTTTCTCTCTCGTTGTGGCGTGCGGGTTTTCTCTCTCCCATTGTGGCGTGTGGGTTTTCTCTCCCTAGTTGAGGCATGCAAGCTCAATAGTTGTGGCGTGCTGGCTTAGCTGCCCCGCAGTATATAAGATCTTAGTTCCCCAACCAGGGATCGAACCCATATCTCCTGCCTTGGAAGGCGGATTCTTTACCACTGGACAACCAGGGAAGTCCCTGGTTGGATACTCTTAACTAAGTTGTACATAGAGCAGCAGATAAGAGAAATAATGACTGTTTCTGATAACTTGGAAGACAAGACAAAAGTGTTGAATGATGAAGACTCATGAACTAGAATTACAGATAGTAAAGTAAGGACAAAAGCAATTGTCAGGCTTCAGATGAAACAGCCATATTACAACTGGATAGAAATCCAATGTGGCATAAAAACTAAAGCATTATTCTACTCCTTGCCTCCGAGGCGTGATGCCTCAGACTTG